TCTAGCAAGTCTCCACCTCCTAATGCTTCCCAAAGAGTGTCACCAACTGGGGACCAAGAGTTCCGATGGTGGGAGATTCGAGATGGTGGTGGCAGCCAGCACCCCTTGGGCCTTGGGACTGCTCCAAAGAGCCTGAGAGACCCACAGAGGCTTTGTAGGGAGACACAGACGCAGAGGGTGAACCTGAAGAGTGCACAGTATCTCTAGAACAACAACAACAACAACAACAAAAACAGGCAGGTGTTATGGAAAGATGTTTTTAAATAGTGGTTTCATGGAACTTGAAAAAAAAGATGGCAGAAAGGAACAGTATGCTTGGTACAGACAAAGTGAACTAGAAATGTAACATGGCGGCAAGGGGCATGGGCACAGCCACAGGGAGGCTCAGGCCACCACTGGGCCTGCCTCACCTCGCTCCTAGGGCATTGCTGCCTCTCCACTCGCACAGTGGGCCACTGCGGCACTTGCTTGCCTTGCTAGCGGGAGAAGATCACAAGCCTGGAGTTCGCACAGGTCCTGCCCCACCCCCTACACGGCCTCTGAGCAGCTACAAGATATCCAAGATGAAGAACGGTTCATTTTCTGGACGAAGTCTGCTGGAAAGGACTTTCATGGTCCATGCTGCTGCAGGGGGCCATGCAGATGTCTGTGGTTTGTGCTGCCACTGGAGGGCCATGTTGGTGTCCGAGATCCGTTGTTGCAACCAGAACCATGCTGATGTCTATGATCTGTGCTGTGCTGCTGTGCGCGCCGGGGGTGGGGGACGGGGGCAGGTTGGTGTCTGTGCCCCAAGCTGCCTCTGGTTGATGTGGGCAAGGAAGCTTCTTTTGCTGTATTAGTGATGACTGCAGATTCATAATGGGGGAGAGACATTGAATGCTTCTGGGACAACTTCCTTGCCGCCCCCCTCCAAAAAAAAAAAAAAAAAAAGAAAGAAAGAAGGAAACAATTCCAGACAGGAGGCTATCAATGAGAGTCTTTAAAAACTGGTGAAGATGCTGAAGTGAAGCTCTTCACAGTTGATGGCTTCTGGGGGCAGGGGTTGGGGGCTGGAGAGTGGGAAACTCCATTTTCTTTAAAGAGCTGACTATTGGGAGTCTGACCATGCTCCGATGAGTAGATGCGTAACACACACTGGACTTTTTTTAAATTTTATTTTATGTTTTATTATTTTATTTTATTTTATTTTTTGAGGGTGGCACAAGGGTTGGAGGGTGAACCTGGCAGAAAGGGGAAGAAAGTGTGATTGTGGTGCATTGTCTGAAATTCCCAAATAATTATGTTGGGGAGAAAAATTCAAATATCGGAACCTACGGGAGAAAGTCTTATGCAACAGAAGAGTTGCCTTAGAGCCTATGCTATCAACATCCTCGAGGTTTTGCAGAGTATAGACTCTGCTAACTAACAGGCATCTCAGCTACTTTCCTTGACCAATTGAGTGCTTGTGTGAATCAGTGAGAAAAGCTGCCTCTGTGATATCTGTGCCCTTCTCATTTTATCGCCTCGCAGTTAAGCTTATACCCACTTTAACCTAACCTTGCTCTTTTACACGAAGGAGTGAAAAGCATTTCCAGAGAGACATAGTGGAATCCTGGGTCACAGCGTCTGTCTTTGACGACCTCATCTCCCTTCTTGCCCCAGAGGACAACACTGGGATTGAAACCATTCAAATGCAGCCTTCGTGAGACGGCAGAACCAAGTCTACCTGGACATAGAGAACAAGAGATCTCATTCTACTTTGGCCTTTGAGGAGATCCATTAGAATATTTTTCTAATATGCTATTTTAAAAAACAATAAAAGTGTACCATCCTGCAATCCTGCATCAGAGTTTTTCCTGTATTCCTGCCAATTTGGCCTCTGCTGAAGACCCAACTGCTTTTCATTTGTACTAGTTCTTCCAAGTGCAAGGAAAACCTTACTTTTTATCTCAGGCTACAGAGAGAGGGCAGGGCCAACTGTTTGTACGGGCCAGATAGCAAATCTGTATGAAAGGTAAGTGATTAGGAAAGATGGACTGCTGCCAGACTAGGAGAGAGCCTCTCAGGGTAGGGGAAGGAAAGGGCTAAGCTTCCTGCCTCGACGTGATATGAGATTCAAGCCGCACTAACCAGTCTTAGACACAAGTAAAAAGAAATCACAGAAACAGGCGAGAACAGAAAGTCCGAGGCCTGCTTTCAGGAAGCAGAAGACATTGGATTTCTGATAGCTCTTCGTTATTCATAGCTCCAACTGTGGAGAGCAGCTTCTTTTTTTTTTTTTTCTTCAAAGGAACTGAGACCCATGTTCCTCAAACCAGAGCCATACAGCAGGGAATTACCTTGAAACATCATCTGGAAATAGTTGTTAGAAAAATACTATGATGTAGCTGCCTGGAGAGCTCCCACAATGGATATAAAGGATTTAAGTAGTTACACATAGTAGCAATACCCCTTACTATATACAATACACTTGTCATTTGTCTGTTGGTAGGACAGACCTTGTAACTTTTATGTAAATTCAATATGTAAAGGATCATCAAGAAATCCTGAAAACCTCCCCATAAATTCACAGAAGATTATTCAAATAAAGTTTATACAGCACTAGGTAAGAGTGAAGAAGGCATTACATTATTGTTGGTGTTTTTAGTGGCATTATATCTCACACCGATAACTACCTGGGTTAATGGAGAGGTCTAAGTACCTTCATCTACTATTGCTTCTTCAGCATGTAGGGGATTACTATGGAAACTATATCAAGGTTCACACTTAGGAGTCATGAAGGTGCCAACCATTGTTAAAGAAGCAATTTTCTTTTGAGAACTTCATAGATCCTCAACAGATGTGAACTTACTGAGGAAAGGGGTAGTTGGCAGAGAGCTGGTGAGCTCATTCTGTTCATGGTGAGATTTGATAACTTGCCTTCATAATGGACCAGAACTTGAGGGTGATGTCATTACAACTGAACTTTCTCCATGTTTAATTCCATGGAACATTTGAAGACCAGCTGAGGTGAAACCATATGTGGAATCCCTACAGTAAGCTCCTTGATGGATTTTCAAGCCTGTTCACAGTTCTGCTGGGATGCGAGAATGCCTGCATGACCCCCTTGTTTTCAAACACTTCAGGGACTCCCAGGCTTGATTCATATAGATTAAGGTACAGCTGCTGGTATCTGACTGTGCCCATGAGGCTGCAACTCTGTTCAAAGGTGAAGCCAGAATGTTGCTCTCCCTGTCCCCACTTCACACTTTATTCCTGGAACATCAGCAAAATACCAAAATATCTTTCAAAACCTCTAATATGACCCACTTCAAAGTTTCGTTTTCACCTCTATTTAAGATAAACCCAGGTCAGCAGGAGAATGACAAGTGTGCCAAGATTCTTATTTGCCTTAGTGGACATTGTGGGAGAAATGTCTCCTTTGTCAGGTCGTTTATATTTGTACAGATAATCATAATCTTATGGTGATGATATTTGTCAGAAACAGCAATAGATATATAGTGGGCTTGAAATCTCAACAAGTCCTAAGTTTGTTTCTTTATTCTGTTGCTTAACTCAATCTTGGTGTGCCCCTAAATTAGCTGTTTAGTCTAAGTATTGGTTCCCTGATTTGTAAAATAAACATAATTCCATCTGCTCATGGAGATGATATAAGATGTACATAGACTGCAGTATACAAAGCCCTTAACACAGTTCCTGGCTCCACACTCACTTGAGTGTGCTACATTCCATCATTTAGGTTAACAAGCTGAAAGAAAGGAGACACCAACTATGAGTCACGAAATGCCAACTTTTTCGCAAGAGTCTTGTGTCAGAGATCTCTGGGCTTTTAAAAAAGTTCATCTCTCGCTTCTTTTGGCAGATAGAAAAGAAAGCAGGATGATTGGCACAATTATCCTAACCCAACCCCAGATAATAAGTAAATATGGTACCAAAATATTAGGTTGAACGGACTTGCCGGTGATTTATAACTGGATGTGCTTTGTAAGCTCAAGAAGGCAAGGACTGCATGAAGCAGGTGGATCCTCATGGTCCTGGAATTCAGCCCAATCATGAACAAAGATCCCAAGTAGAATGCTGGGAGTCTAGGCAAAGCCACACTGCCTGGGAGAGCAGAATTTCCTGGGCAGAGCACCTCTCTGGCCCCAAGCCTCCATCCGGGAGAGCCCTGCCTGGATTCAAACACCTTCAAGGACTCTAAGATACAAAGTTCTTTCACAACCCACTCACGGTGCATGGGCCTGGGTGGGGAGGCACAGAACTTCCTGGCAGGCTTTTAGAATCAACAATGAAGAACCTATAAAACCCAAAGAGGGTATAACGAACCCTTGCTAGACCTCCACAGGAGGAAGGAGCTAGCCTCCACCCGTTTTGATGAATAGTGTCGCAGAGGTCTCCTGACACATGGGGCTGGAGCTTTTGGCTAGGCAGTAACTCAGAAGCATTTCTTACTGTTAGAAACAGTGAGAGTTAAACATGGTTCTTTTTACATCTTCAGCCATTTTGAGTTTATGTATCCTGTCAAATGATTCTACAGGGAAAAGAAACTTCTCACTCAGTAACTCGGTGTAAAAGTACCCATGGGCCAGAAAGCAAAAGGAATGAGAAGGAAATCCATTCAGCCTACAACCTGGAGTTGCCTCAAATTGCCGGTTTCAGCCTCTGTTTGCTCGGCGCAGGCCTCACTCTGAGGTACGAACCTTGTTGAGGAAACTAGAATGGGAGAAAACGGGCAACAACTGCCTGAGAAATGTCCTTTAGACAAAACTTCCCGCTCTGATGAGAAGCCACCTGCTGCTAGTAATTCCGCCTGACAAACAGTGTGACGTGGTCCCCTAACAGCAGGAATGAGCCTGGTTGCCTCTGCACAGAGCTGGCCTTCTGGGCTGGGCCAGCACTCAGGCTCAGTCAACACAAGTGCTCCTAGCATCCTCTCCCCACCTCCCCACTAACACCCCCCTCCCACCCATACCCCTTTTGAAGACATTCACTCCTGTAACACTCATGCTGAGGAAAGAGCTTTACTTGGCGGCTTTAGGTTTACAGGATCGCTGGTGAACTATCAGTCTGTCTGGCAGGAAGGTCCTCCCACAAACGTCGCAGGGAACCAACTGGCTCTGGGCACTTGCCCAAGCAGCTTCATTTAAGGCGTCAAGATCATAGAAGCCCTTGGCTGCAAAAAAAAAAAAAAAAAAAAAAAAAAAAGTAAGAGAAGGAGGGAAATATTTTTTAAAAAAGGAAAATGGAAAGGTGAAATGTGTTAGTTTCCATTCAAGGGAGCCATGCTCTACTATTTATGGAAAACAGTCACAGGAAATACCCCTGGACTGGCATTCTCAAGCAAATCGTGTGACTTTGGCAGAAATAAATAAATAAATATAGTAAATAAATAGGGTTGAGCATTCCTGCACGGGTTGATTGGATTTAGCTATGAACTGGAGGCTTTTGAAAAAAAGGAAAGAGAGTTCCTTGTTATGATATGCACTCTTCGCTCATTACGAACATCTTTGCTTCTCATTACGAACATCTTTGCTTACACGCTGTTATCTTGCAAATCTATAACGTTTGGCTTCCTTTCCGTTGGTTCTAAATATAAGCTTACACGGGGAAAGGAATGCGTGTTTGTATTTTCATTCTATGCGATTGTCCCCTGGAATGTTTTCAGAGACCCACACTGGCAACTGAAAGTGAATTTAAGATGAAGTCTACCCTAAAAAAAAAAAAAAAAAAAAAAGAAAAAAATTGTCTCTTCGTGGTCATAAACTCAGATGATCTTTAAGTAATTAAAGCAAAGAACGCAAACAAGTTGAGGGGAAGAGAACTGGCCTTAAGGAAACAAAGGGAGAGCCGAGAGATGTGTAATCTTTTTTGGCGGGGCCTGGGGGAGCAAAAGCATATGGCTTTATTTTAGGGGAACAATGTGGGGTTTAACTTTAATAAGCCGTGTTTAAATAGAATGACTTTAGTACATTAAATTGACTATGTCCTAGAATCTCCCAAAATAGGCCCCTCAAATGTGATCAGGCACTCAAAATGTATCTGTTTTTATCATTGGCCAGTGGATGTTACTTCACTAAACACTAACCTGTGTTCATTCGATTTCTATCTTAATGGTTCACACAACCATGACAAACCTTTAGATTCTTAGCATGCCTTCTTTTAATGGAGATTTCAACCCTGTGCAGCCTGGTATTTCTCCTTTAGATAAAGCAAGTATTACTATTATACAGATTATGGATGTATGTTTAAAGATTTGCTTTTATTTTTAATTGTGTGTGTGTGCGTGAGTGCGTGTGTGTGTGTGTGTGTGTGTGTGTGTGTGTGTGTGTGTGTGAGAGAGAGAGAGAGAGAGAGAGAGAGAGAGAGTGTGTGTGTGTGTGTGTGTGTGTGTGTGTGTGTGTGTGTGTGTGTACTTGAATACAGATGCCTGTGGGGACCAGAGATGCTGGATGCCCTGCAGCGGGAGTTGCAGGCAATTGCAAGGTGCTAGACATGGGTGCAGTGAACTCAGGTCCCTGCAAGAGCAGTGTGTGCACTTAATGGCTGAGCCCTCTCTCCAGCACACGAATGCGTGTTTCGAGTGCTTTGAAAACTGTAGAGAAAAGGAGAGCTCTGACTTTTTCATGGCAATGTTCCTGCATAGGACTTTAACTGTGGATCCGGGAAAAGAGTTATTTGAACTCAGTAACTGTACTGAGTGTGGGCGAGAGGAAGCCAATTCTGTTTACCTAGAAAAGAAGGGCGCCTTCAAAGATAAAAGTAGCGTGAAGCCCAAAGAACAACTGTAAGCAAGTGAAATGATAGGAACTACCCTGCTCTCTGTCAACAGTGGACAACAGTGAGACACCCACTTGCAGGGATTTTCAAGCTATTCACACTTCTAGCCATGTGATGATAAAGACCAAGCAGAAAAAAACAATGCAGAGCATTGGGAATGATTATTTTGGGTACCAAATGAGAAGTTCTAGAAAAAGGCATGTAGTCTCTCTAGAGACAAATACTATGATTTCAGTGGGTGGATACTTTCTTTTTCCTTTTTTTTTTTTTAAATTTGTTTTATGTATACGTTTTTTTTGCCTGCATGTATGTATATGCACCATACTTGTTTGTGATGCCTCAGGAGGTCAGAAGAGGGTGCCAGAACTTGTAGAACTGGAGTTAGGGATGATTGTGAGAACTGCCATGTGGATGCTGGGAACAGAGCCCAGGTCCTCTTCCAAGAGCAGGCAATGCTTTTTACCTCTGAGCCATCTCTCCAGCCCCAAGATACTCATTTTGAATTCCTTTTCAACCTCTCTACAAAGTCTCTTCTTGCCGAGGACTGTGACTAGTTGGGTTTCAATAGCATCTAGAACTCGTTATAACAATGTAGATTTCACTCTATGGCTGTCATACTCTTCTTGGATCACACCTTAAGGAGTGCCATGAACTAGCCAATGCTAAACAGCCCGTGCGGTACCTTTAGCTACACAGGGAAAAATACTTAAAAGATGCATCTCTTAATAAAAAATAGCCTCTAAGGAATGAGGAAATCAAATGAGAAAAACATTAATGATAGGAATATGATAATTGAGACTGAATTTGAGTGGCAATTATGTAAATATATTTACATATGCAATGAAAAAATCACATGTAATATAACATAAATATATAATGTACATACAATATATAATAATATATCATGATATATAATATATTATCATATATTATATTATGTATCAAATTACATATTTAATGTGTAATACATTTGATATAAATATATAATTTAAAGTATAATATAATGTATAATTATATCATATAATTATGTATAATACAATTATTACATATTATCTTTATTGTGCATAATATATATTGTATTTTATATATAATATAAAATATCACATAATATATACTGTTATCTAAATAATAACATGTAATTTATAATATAACATATATGTATATTTTTCTTTCAACTCTGTTCATACTCTGGGAACCCAGCACTCTGTGACTTTCACATGAGACAGTACAGATCCTCCTCCACTTGGGTTGGATAGCACTTTATAAATTACTGATTGAAAAAAAATCTGGACATTCCATCCAGTTGTCTAGATTTCTGGTTTCATTTGCATTTATTGGAAAATATGAATGTCTTGGGCTAAATTTCTTAATGAAAGCAGCAGCTGGATGAGAGTGCCTTTCCTTTGTGTTCACAGAGGAAACAGATTCTTCAGTCCTGTAACTTGACTAGTGAGCATTTGAGTTTGGTACTCCTGCTCCATGAGGAAATCAAGGCACATTTATAATGAAAACAAAGCTGTATATATTCCCAGACATCTTTAAGCTTCATGGTTTTTAAAATATTATGTGTGATAATATATAAAAATAACTTTAGGAAAATATGGTAAATTCCCATGGGTACCTCTCACAAGGTGTTGCCAGGACATACTGCCTTTATGTCTCAGCATCTGAAGACAAGACTGTAAAGACATTCCAGAATGTCTTTTAAAAATCCAATACGACTTTGTCTAGGACCGTAAGTGCTGATTTCAGATGCTAGGACTAGTAAGAAAAAAATAGTCAGTTTTCCAATTTTTTTTTTTTCTAAGAACTTACCAGTAATGACTCTAACTTCTGGTTTTTTCGGTTCTGGTCTCTTTAGTTCTTTAGGCAACAAATTGTTTTCATTATGCCATTTTTTCAGACATTGTGGCTCATGGATGCTAATAGATTTGGTCCCATATTCACGGCCACAGATGTAACAAACAACTGTTGGTGGACGCCTTATCATTGTTGGCTGAAAATAATATAAAACCCGTTAGATAAAGGATGCATGTGGAAATTTCACTTGAAAATTAGTATTTTTAATTCCGGTTATCAGGGCTGGAGACTGTCATTGCACATTAGAAATCTGTGGCTTTTTTATTTTACAAGGATTCACAGGTAAGAAATTATCAAGTCTCTGATGGGCTTTGAACTTGGCTTTTGAATAGTGTTGAGAGTGCTATGACTCTTTATGGACTCTTCATTATAGGAAAAGTAGGAGCCTTTGAGGCCAGGGGTGGAATGAAATAGCTTGAGAGTGATGTGTTCAGTATCACGTTGACAAAGAGTGACAAGATCATTGATTTTCGTTGTCAACGTCATTAGATTTGGAATTACCTAGGAGACACACCCTGGGTGTGTCGTTGAAGAAGTTCCCTGTTTCTGCTGTGGGCGAATGTATCTGCAAATCTTAGTCAAAATTAACCCTCCATTAAATTGCTTCTTGTCCAGTATTTGATCACAACAATAAGAAGAGTAGCTAATACAGATGAGAGTTGGTAGATAAATACTTCACTAAGGCTAATTTCATACAGTTTTCCAGAAGTTCTTAGTAAAATTGTTCCATATCTATTGCATACCATACAGGCTTCCTTCTTTTCCATTTATTCCCTTTTGTGGATTCTTTGAAGAAAAATAAAAATGGAGGCCACAAAATAACGACCTGACATTCTTTTAATCCCAGCACTCGGGAGGCAGAGCCAGGCGGATCTCTGTGAGTTCGAGGCCAGCCTGGGCTACCAAGTGAGTCCCAGGAAAGGCGCAAAGCTACACAGAGAAACCCTGTCTCGAAAAACCAAAAAAAAAAAAAAAAAAAAAAAAAAAAAAAAAAATTATCCTACTACAAGACAATGTCAATTTGGAACTTCAGTCCAGTAAAAAATGGTCTTCAAAACTGAAAATGAAATAAAGGTATCTCTGTCTAGAGGAACAGGTAAAGAATTCACTGCTGATAGACTTGTTGAGCCAAAAATTCTAAGAGAAGTTTTAAATGGCAAGAGGAAATAACAGCAAATAGTCTAGTTCTGTAAGAAACGATGGGGGGAATACTATAAAACACAGCAGATCAGTCAATAAAATAAGCTTTGGAATACTCATAGCTTTGCCATACAGAATATTAAGTCTCTTAAATAATGGGCTACTTGAGGCAAAAGTATCTAAGACAGAGTTTATAGTATATATGTATGAAACAAGTTATAGTCAGCAAGAACACAGAGTGGAACAAAATTCAAAGTGAGATAATTATTAATTTGATTATATTTTTTTGAAATAGTTTTTGAATATGAACATTATGGGTCAAAGGTGTTTATTTTAATGTATATAGTAGCCACTGTTTCATACAGATATATACAAGGAGAGAACCTAAAATCAAAAAGTAAATGGCCAACCAAACTCCAAATATGATAAATTAACCGATCCCCCAAGAAGGAAGGATAATAAGAGAGAAATGAAAACATCAACCCACCAAAATATGGTGATTAATAGCCTTAAAACAGGAAGACAGGTAGAAATAAGATCAAATATGTCAATAATTGGCTAAGGCAGTACTCTTATTATTGCTTACCCTTCTGCCTCTCACAGTATATATATATGCCTGTTTTTTTTCCTCAAAAAGTAATCAATAATTGCGGTGAATATAAATAGACTAAACAACACAATTAAAAGACATGTTGCTGGGCACAGTGGCTCATACCCAATCCTAGTAACTGTAAGTTGGAAATAGGAAGATTGCCATGAATTCAAAGCCAGTCCAAGCTACATAATGAGTTCTAGTCCAGCTGAGGATAAAGAGCTAGACTGTCTCAAAAGCCAGAAGAATAAAAATTAAAAGTAATAAAAGTAGCCGGGCGGTGGTGGCACACACCTTTAAAACCAGCACTCAGAGGCAAAGCCAGGCAGATCTCTGTGAGTTCGAGGCCAGCCTGGTCTCCAGAGTGAGATCCAGAACAGACGGAGAAACTCTGTCTCAAGAAACCAAAAACCACCACCAACAAAAAAAGGTAATAAAAGTAAAAGAGAACACATTTTTCAGGCTAGATAAAAAGACAGCATCAACCTTTGTGTTTTTATTATGAGAAATCCATTTTGTGAACCCAAACATGCAAATAGGTTTCAAGTGAAAGAATGGGGAAAAATACTCTGTGTGACAAGGAGAGAAAGAAAGCTGATAACGCCTTATGTTCAGTGTGGGAAGCTTGAGTCAGATCGGTAACAAGCTGCAGGGCCATGGAGAGCCAGGAAAGCCATGCTGAGATCTGCATTTTACTGTGGCTGGGGTCATTCAGCAGGGACAAAGCCATACTTGTGCTCAGGGATATTAGCCTGTTGGCTTGAAGCTACCAGGCCAAGATAACTATGAGATCCCATAAGTGGCTGCTCTGCAGATGAGGGAATAATGGGACCACAAATGGCAATATTTTTTGCTGCAAGATGACAGCCAGGGACAGAAAGGGAGAAATGAGCAAAAGCAACGGAAGAAAGAGGAAAACATTGATTGTGTTCTGGGTCTGAGGAGATTGATGGATTCATAGAATTTAACCTCAGTAAACCCAGCCAAAACAGGAAATGTAGGCCTGCAATTCAGTGTTAATAGTTTTGGGAACTATTCTCGGAGAAAAGGATATTTTAAATAGGAAAATTCCAGATAAAGGGAATTTTATAGAGAGAGTATGGAGAAAAAAATACAAGTAGAATGTCTGTAATAAGAATATTGAAAATATGAAACTACAGATTAAAAAATACAGAGAAAGGTTCAAATTTTCAGTTTAGGAAATGAGACATGGAGAGAAAAGAGCCATCAGAATTTTGGAAACATTCCTTCCTGACTTGCAGCAAGGTGGAGTCATCACGCTGTAAAATGTTACAGAAAGAGTTGGGAGATGAGAAAAAGATGTCATATTCACTGCTAGGTCATACGTCAGCGATTGGTGCATGTTCAGCCCTGATGGAGCAGGAAAGGCAAAGAAAAAACTCAACTGTTTTGATTCCTGTTCTAGCTAACCACATAAACCTCGATTGTGAGACATTCAACAGCAGAGCTAGGAAAAGGGGGTGCTCTCAAAAAGCTTAAGGAAGGAAGGGAGAGCTGAGTAGAGTCAGGAAAGGCTTGCTTATATGACGGGATTAGAAAGTAGGGTCCTTCTCCACCAGCAGAGAAAGGGGATGAAGCATGGACTGCAGAGGCGGAGCTCAGAGGAAAGGGAAGAAAGAAGAAATGGACGAAGTTACTTAAAGGTAGTTGCAGGAAAGTCAGGGTTGCTAGAACTCACAAAGACGAACTTCATCTCCTAGGTAATGTGATCTTCAGGGAACCAAGAGACTCAGATTCCAGGAAATCAAGTATTAAAATGATGGGACTGGGTACTGTGGGAATGTGATAGCGATTCAATTAGGAAAAAGACTCACCAACTAAAGCAAAAATGACCTAATTAAATAGAGTTGGAAGAGATTCCGGCAGCATTAAAGGCCCCTTTTCCCATATGTTCTCTGGTAGGACTGGGAGGCATGGAGACAGAAACAAATTAAGTAGATGGTATTTTATCCTTTGGGGAAATAAAACATGGCAAAAAAAAAAAAATGTATGTTTTAGAATCAGCCCGCCTTTCACCATAGCTACTGGTCAGCCTCCTGAAATGGAAAAAACACAAAACATGGTCACAACAAAAAACAAAACAAAAAACAAACCACTATTATGATTTCTTACTACCAGAAGCAAAATAGATCCTAGAAGACTAAACAGCAAATTAAGAGGCCAATTAAAACCGAAATTGGAGAGCCTTCCTGAAATGTGGATTTTATTTGAGGTATAATATTTTTATTGAGTACTAAATGATACCATCAGACTGTGTTCATCATAATAACCAGGTGCTTGCTTGTCATGTTTTCATGCCATGCAGAGTCATATGGCCCATGAAAAGTGACTTGGGAAGCAGGGAATTCAAGACATATGAGAAAGTATAAAGCATAAACCATAATTTTCGAGACACCTCGAAGTTCCCTGTGCTTTCTTTCCATGTTTATTCATTTGGAAGGTTAATTAAATACAGGTTTTTCAGTTGAAAAAAAAATAAGAAGTTGTTCATTTTACTTTGAGAAGAATGCATTTATTAAGACTCCATATGGAACCTGGATTACAAGCCAAATCCAGCATTTAACCAAGCGTAACGAGCAAAATCAATGGCATGATTCCTAAATGAAGACATTCCCATCAAATTGTCATAACGTTTCCTCTGCGGGGGGGGGGGGGGGGGGGGGGGGGGGGGGGGAGTTGTGAACAAACAGGCTGACCCAGAGGCCAAAAGACACTCTAAGAAGAACTGCAGAAGATGTGGGGGGAAAATGACCACTGTCACGGGGGACGATGTCCTACAGTGCTCTTTTGAGAGGTATTTGGGGTTGAACTTCAGCTGACCTGTAGCATACTCCATAGTCTCAGGTTTGAACATCTTCCCGATATGCCATTCTATAGGGAAGTATAGGCAACCCAGCTGTGGCTGAGGAGAAAATGCTCCCGGGTGGGTCTGAACAGTGATGAGATGACTGGATTCATTTTTCCTTAACTTCACTATTGTTAGTCCCAAATTTAATTGAGCAATCTGTGGCTTGTGGTCAATGCCATTATCCTGATTAGCAAGGATTTACTAGCTGAGTTCTTTTTCAGTGTTTGCAGGAAGAAATGGCTTTGACGGGATTAGAGAGCATGGCCAGGAAGGGAAGACCCTACCCTGAGAGAGCCAGCAGAGTGCCCTGCCCCCTCTTGCTCAGTGTAAGGCAGACAGCATTGGATGCCATGGCATAACAGAGCAGGACAGAAGCCGGGGGAGGTCATCCCTAGGAGAACAGCAAGCCCTGTCCATGTGGAGCTTACTGGGACTAGCCAGCTGCTGTAAGTCTGAACTCTGTAGAGAGCAAAGGATTAGATTTAGTTTTCCTGTCAACATTTCAGATAGTTTTTGTAGAGCTGCCTTTCCAAAAGTCAATCTCTAGTTCTGCATGAGTACTCTTCAGGTGTGAAACACTTCATGAGAATAAGAAATGTTTGCTATGTAGGTGTGCCTATCAGTTCATTAAAGCAAATATTTGCTA